GCTCTGGTCAAAGGCAAGGGAGGGAGGGGATCGAGGAGGGGGCAGGCTTGTTGTGGGTCTACAAGGCTGTGGAGAAGGAACCCCAAGGTTCTGACTTGGGGCCTTTGCAACTGGTTGTTCTTGTCCGGGCCCTCCTCCCCACCATATCAGTGACTATTCTCATTCTGGTCATGGAACATGCCCTCTTGGTAGCCAGATGTGGATCAAAAGGCAAACTAGACATTTTTCTTTTTCTTTTTTAGTGCCTCCTGCTACCCCTTCCCTCATCACCCACCCCCCTCCTCCAAGAAAAAAACACACAACAAAAGCCAACTCCCATCTCCATGGCGAGCCTTGGTGGGGAGGGGATGAACTGTCCGTAACTACAAGGCCCTTCTCCTAGAAAAGAGAGTAGTCAGGTGCAGAGTTGTGTGGGGAACTCGGCCTCTAGTCAGCCACGCTGATGACTCATAAGCTAAATATAGCGAGCGATATAAACAGAGCCAGCCACAGAGCAAACACAGGGCCCCCAAGCCCTTGCCCTGGCTCTCACGCACGGCAGCTTTCCACAGCCCCTCCCTCAGCCTCACTCTTCCCAGGCACTGTCCTGGGTGGACCTCCCACTCCCGGGGCAGAGGCTGGCTCTGTTGGGGCCCTTCTCACTTTAAGGCAAATCTCTGGATTTCCTGCCCAGGGCTGTCCCATCTAAAGCCTGAACAACCTCACTAGCCACAGTCTGAGTTCCAGAAAACCACTCGCTAACAAGGAGAGCATCCCAAAGGGTCAGGAAGCAGTCAGGGGCTCCCTGAACAAAGGATCCAGGCTGCTGGTAGAGAAGCTGCTAGTTAATACACCGTGCAAACACCACCCTGGGTACAACTGCCCAAAGGGCTCCCCAAGAACTATAAGGGCAGGTCCAAGTGAAATCCTAAAATCATCTTTTTACACATGTCCAAAAGTGTTAAACTGTCCAGTCCTTACTAGTGATATATCTTACAACCAGGACCTGCCTCTGAAGTCCAGGGTCCTTTCTGTGATATTGCAATTAAAGATGATTTCAACTGAGTGGCTGAATTGTTTCTCAGATTTCATTTTCCAGAAAGTCTAATTACTAGTCAGGGAATTTCCAAATCTGACTGTTCTGAATGGAGCTACTCCTTGTCCAAGTGAAAAAGTCATTTCCAACATGAAAAATTCCAACCCTCCTTTAGCTTTACTCAACAGTCTACAGTAGCTGCTTTTTTGGAGGATTCTTGGCTTCTTAACTTTGCCCCAAAATACCACCACAAATTTAAAGATGGCGCCACTGGGACAGGAGTCTTTCTCAAGGGGAGGGGACACTAGCTACCGCTGTCCATCCGTAGGCCCACGCAGGAGGACACCGTGACAGAGCAGCCATGAGCTCATTGAGGAAGCAAACCCGCACCTCCTCTTCCCTGCAGGAGCTGTACGGACATGGAAGTACCGGGGCACGCTCACAGAGCCTGAGTCAGGGTAGGCCACCGTCAACAGTCTGCAGCCCGTCACATCACAGAAGAGCAAAGAGGAAGGTAGAGTGTGTGACCAGGTTTGGAAAGGCTTTTACCTCCATTCACTCTGCCTCCAAATCTCTTGTAGCTTTGAAGCCCTCACTGACACTGATCTGCCTCCAATTCCTTGCTGGTTGGTCCAGAGGAGCCAGCGGAACTGATCACTTGAGTAACCAGGCTAGATCTGCACGCTCTTTGGGAAATATGGCCAGCATACACCGACCCAGGAGAATCTGCAACCTCTTCAATCTGGGTCATGTTCATGCACTCAATTTGCCATACTGCCATCCTATAATGCACTCCCCATCATCATACCCCCGCCCTTGGCTCCACATCTCCTAGGGAGAAGATCTCCCCTGATACAGAAAAAGAATAACTGAGGTTGCTGTAACTGGTTTGGCTCAGTGGATAGAGCGTTGGCCTGCAGACTGAAGGGTCCCAGGTTCGATTCCAGTCAAGGGCATGTACCTTGGTTGGGGGCACATCCCCAGTACGGGGTGTGCAGGAGGCAGCTGATCGATGCTTCTCTCTCATTGATGTTTCTAACTCTCTATCCCTCTCCCTTCCTCTCTGTAAAAATTTTTTTTTTAAAAAAAGAATAACAGGTTCAAACCAGGGACAAAAATCAGAGCTCACACTCCCTTCAGGACTCAGGGATTAACGGCTACTGTCTGGCTCTGTGATACCATCCCAGATCCAAGGAGAAAGAAGATGGCCAGGCCCCTTCAACTTCTTCTTACCTCTTGGGTTGTCTTTCGTGGCTCTCTAAACTCAGCCTACAATGATGGGGAATGACCATCACTCTCAGAGGAGAATGTTCAAGGCCAAAGCCCAAAGCTGAACAGTTGGGACACGGATTTCTCTGGACAAGACAGGCAGAGGGGAGCTCAGGGAGCAGCGTGATGGGTGGGGTGGGAAATGTTGAGGGCGATCAGAATTACAGAGAGACAGAAGTAAACAAGCATTAGAGAATACCTACTGATGTGCCTGGAGTTTTCACAGGTATTAACTCACTTAACCTTTCAAGTAAAATTCCGTGGTATTAGCTCAAATTTACAGAAGAGGAAAGGGGCTTGGCAAGGTCAAGTGACTTCCCAATGGCTAGTAGGTGGCAAAACTGGTATTCAAACCCGGGCGTTCTGACTTTATCCTCAAAGCCTAAAGACTTAATCCTAACCCTTCCAGGACCTCAGTCTCCCTGCCTGTAAAGATGAGGGAAGGCAATAGGGAAAGAAGATAAAGGATAAGAATGTAGGAGTGTCAACAGTACTTTTTAGATATGAAATATTAGGCTGTAGTTATGTAATAATGAAGTTCAGAAGATGACTAACTCCTTAAAACTAGCTGCTAAAAGATCCTATGTGTGCAACTATCCTAGCCCTTCCCCCAAGATGAGCCCCCGGTGAGCAGGGTTAGCGGGGAGGAGGGGGTGAAAAGCAAGAGGACTCCGCAGAGTTTCTTTGTAATGGAAAATTTGGGAAAACCAGAGGTAGCTGGCAGGTGGATGGCGGGCACAGAGAGCTCAGGAGCCAGTACAGGGTGAGGTGCTGAGCAGGGAACACTTTTTTACAGTTAGATCTCCTGCTGTATCCTTCCTCCTACCCGGCTGGGGTGGCTCTGCTGAGAGGACGCCATCCTGTCTAGGTCTGAACCATGCCCTCAAAGAGGCAGCCCTGGGCTGGGGGAAACGATGCCAAGCAGCAAAGAGCAGGGTCAGACCTTGAGATAAGGGCCGCCTCCTCCTGTTCAGGACGAGGCAGGAAGAAAGGGCGCTGGGCTGTGGTCTAGTCCTATCCTCCCAGCCTGCTCCCAAGCCTACAGGAGCTCCCCAGATGAGGGAATTTTCTGGGAAACACCTGTTGAAAGAGACCAGGTCTGTTGAAAATGAAAAAAAGCTGCCTTCCAAACAATACTTGAGATGAGTCTAGGAGACCCAGAGCCACTGTGTCATCCATCAGCTCCAGCACCAGGACTGGAAGCTGTGAGCTGGACTCAGCCACAGGCCGTACAACCAGGCTAGAGTGAATGGGCAGGAAGGAGGCCAAGAGAAAGAAATCAAGAATCAGAGTGAGTCCACACATGGACTGAAGGGGAAACTCTAAGCCAAGTTTCCACAGAAAAATCAAAAGGACAGACTAGAAACGAGTTTGGGGCCAGAAGAGGAGGCCAAGCTGCCTTATTATCTAAGCACAGGGCCACCCTACCTTCCTGATCTCTGAGGGACTAGGAGAGCCCACCAGGACCAGTTCTAGACCCAAATTTCCCTCAGAACCCCTTGGCAGAAGGCACTGACCATATTTAACTCTTGATGGCCTGTTCTCAGGAGACCCATAGTCAATTTCTTCTCCCCCTGGTGCTGGCAATGGTTTGGTCCTTGAGTCAAACTATCAATAGCTCTCCTCAGGCCACCTGAAGTGACCCATCCAACCTCAGGGCCTTGCCCAATCAAGATGTTATTTATTTTCCTGATTTCCAGACAGACAGGCAGACACACACACACACACACACACACACACACACACACACACACACATTTATCCTACGGGCCAGGGACACTGTCCCAGAAGGAGCGAAAGTGCTCACTTCCAGGTGGCGTGCCTCCGCTTCAGCGACGGGTATGCTAGCACAGACCAGCCCCAGCCCTCTCCCTGCCTTGGCAGCCCTCCAGAAAGTCAGCCCAGAGAGGAAGGGTTAAGTGCCTGGGGGCCGCCCAGACAGGGCTGCAGAGCAGGGCAGCCTTCAGCCCGTGGCACAAGGGCTCCTTCAGCACGAGCCTGCCAGCCGCCGCCTTTGTTGATGGACTCTGCCACATGCTCCACTGACACGGGATGCCCCGCCCTGGCGGTGCTGGTGCCAGGCTGCCGGCCAAGCACCCGGCCGAGCGCCCGGCCGCCGGTCTGGAGAGACTCCCCGAGGTACACTCTCCAGAGTCCCAGGCCCCAGTTCCCAGACAGAGACAATGAGGAGCAGCCTCCCCAGCTGGAAAGTGTCAGGTTACAACCGGTTCCACCACTTTCCTCCACTCAGCCCATCCCTCAGCCTTGCTTATTAGGTTCCCATTGCACCTCAGCCAGACACCCCCAACTGTCCAGTTTCACCGCAGCACCCTGGAAACCTTCCCCTTGGGTCCATAAGGGACAATCTCTCAACCCAGGCCTCAAGAAGACACAGTTTGTCAAGCAAGGCTGCAAAAAGTCATCCCATTTTCCAGGAAGGAGGGATAGTGGCATCTCCCAACAAACCATCTTATGGAGCCTGAGCTGAAAGTGGGCAGATAACCAACTTGGAGCGCAGAGATGAGGGCAGGCATGTTCATCCAGTAGGGCCCATCCAGTCCTCAGGAATCACAGGAGTCAAGGCCAAAACTCTGGGACCATATTCTTGAGATCTAGCCAGACAGGGTTGCAGAGGCAGGCCCCAGCCACCCCCCTACCCACCCACCCAGCAGACTCAAACCTCACCCCCCACCCCACCCCAAGGACCCGTGCCTACTTGCTGCATTTGAAGCCGATGAAATTGGTCGGCAATACTCTGAAGCTTTCTGGCGATCTGGATCTCTGCTCGATGATGTTGCCACTGTCCTTCCGGGGGCTGCTCACCAAGGGGCGAGCCTGCAGGGAAACTGGCAGGGAGAGGGAGCCGGTAGCCAGCATTGCCTGCAAGGACAGAGGGCCCACATCTCAGTATTCTCCACAACCGCCCCTTCCTCCCCGTGCCGAACACTCCTGGCAGAGACCGGGGGTTGAGGCCTTATCAGGGCAGTCTGCCAAATCTGGACAACCTGACTCACTAGCAAGTATATAAAAGTTGGTGCTGGGAGAACAGAAGGGAATGGTCCCAGCCCTCCCTTCGGTTTTACACTCGCCGGCAGTGCCATGGCAAAAGTAATATGTATGGGTGAACTTGCCAACTTTCTGTCCTTATTTACCAAGCTATGCTTGACCATAATTTATTATTCATGTAGTAGCAGGTTGAAGCTCTTCTCTGGACAGGCACTGGAGGCAGCTCTCCAGAGTTCCTGGGTTGAGCAAAGCAAGGGACAGAGAAAGAGAAAACCACAATGTGTCTTCACTTATTAGTGCAGCACAGGAAGGTTGGTCTCAGGTCCTAAAGCTCTGGGCAGTGGTATAAAAACTAGGGAGAGAAAACTCAGACCCACAGAATAGCTAAGTTCCTCTCTGGAAGCAAGACCTCAAGATCAGTGCTCCATACTTACCAAGTGCTGGCAATTGAGCTGCCACTAGGGGCACCCGCCTGCCTCCTCCCTCCTTTCCCTCTTCCCGCCAGAACTGCGGTGCAAGAATTCCCTATGGGTGGGCTCCCTCTGGGAATAAGTGCAGCATCTCCCCAGTCTGTCCATCAGACTCAGCAAGATAGCCTCTGAACCTTTCCCCTCTCTCCATGCGCTATTGTGCTAAAAGTAGAACACAGACTGTGTGTCTAACCCTGCCTTTTTGCCAGAGGAGGGCATACAGCTCATAAAACAAACCATTTAAGTCCACAAATGAAGGGGTCTTGTCCTATTGAACCTTGGAAAAAGCCCCTCTGCTGGCATTGAGCCTAGGCAGTCTCAACCTCTTTTTCCAGTTCCCCTTCCAAGCACAGAAAGTCCCAAGTGACAAGTGGGGGCCACCTTCTGCCTTCAGGAACCTTCTGTCCCAGAACCAGCTGGGTTTTCCCCTTCCGTGTCAACAGCGAGTCACAGATCCGCGAACCTTCTCCAGAGCAATGTCAGCCACTTTACGGAAGGACACAAAAGGCTGCACCACTTAACTGGCCACAGGATGTAACAGCTGAGGCTCAGGTACCCTCTCCAACCCAAGGAGACACCATGGACCCAAAGATCCCTCGAGAAGGGGACAAAAGAGCAGAAATGATGGCAGGGCGCTCTGTCCTTCCTGGCGCTCAAGAGCGCAGGTAAGGAGCAATGACAAGCAGAAAGGCAACAGGTGAGAGGTGAGGAAATCAATAGCCCCTGCTGCTCAGTTTGGGGAAGGAAATAGCAACAGGCAGGTTTGGGGAGGGAAAGTCCCCTCTTTTCCCCAAGTCTCTATGGGAGGAGTCCTGAGGCTAAGAGCACTCACCATAAAAGAGTCGCTGGGGTTCCTCGGTCACCCCACAAGGCAGCATGACACCCTGGCTCGGGGAGGCTGGACTGAGGGTCTGGGTGGCCTTGTCTTCCTGGCTGATGGGTCGAAGCCCAGGGCCACAGCAGTGGGTGAGAGGGAAGAGCTGCAGACGGCTGAGGGGGCAGTCCAGCTGGCTCTGGGCAAACAGGTCAGCAGAGGGCAAACTCCCAGGCTGGGTCCCCAGCTCATCCTCTGGCTGAAACACATCATCCTCCAGCTCCTCCACACACTGAGGTGGCTCCATCTCCCCTGTTGGATGTAATGAGGCATCCAGGATGCTATCCCTTCCAGGGAGTCCTAGAGGGGGTCCTCCCCTGCCCTTCCTTCCTTCTTCTCTCTTCTTATCTGGGGAAGTGGGGCCAGGTACTGATGACTGATAACCCTGATGATATAGTGCTGCCACGGGTGACACCTGTCCCCAGATGTGGGCTGCCTCACTGTTCAGGGACTCTCCACACTTCTTCCTGAGCTCACCCACGGCCACCCCCCCCCCTCCCCCCAAGTCTCTTCTTCTGACCCAGCTGGTCAGAGTCATGAAGTTTGCTCCCAACTCTGAGCAATAGCAGGGGTACGATCAGCTGCTATAAGCACTCAGGGTACCTGGGGAAATGTCAACGAGACTAGCCTCCGTGAGAGAGCAGAAGGGTGCTGTGTGACTGACTGTGCACATAGTGTTCACAACACTCACTCTCTCTCTCACCCACTCTCTCACTCACTGCCCTGAGGAGTAACCAACCACCAAGTCTAAACTGAGCTCCGGGCTCAGCAGTAAAAACAAAAGCCAGCCAGCAATCCTAGGACAGCCAGGTTCCCTCCAAACCTGCTAGGCCCTGCCCATCTGCCCATCTACTCTAGTCTCCACCCCCAGCTTGCTCAACACAACAAACAGGCTCCCTGGTGTGGTAAGAGTGTGTCCTGGGAGAGAAAGGGAAGAAAGACCCAAGTTAGTCATTGCAGCTGCCCTCTCAGCACAGTAGAGCGGTCTGCCCACCACAGCTTGGCCTAGAGGGTGGGTCCAACATCCAGCAAAGTAACTGACCTCCTCCAGCTCAATCTACTCATTAGTCTCCCTGATTTCAAACCTTTTCCCACAGCCTACCACTCCTGCCAGTGCTGAACCTTAGATTGGTACGATCTGCCTCACAGGAGGAAGTGAAATTTTGCCCTTTCTCTGTGACCTCACTCACTGCCAAAATACTCAGGTTGTTGATATGAGTTTCTTGGTAATAAAGAAGTTCTTCTTGCTCCACCTGATGACTCTTGGAAGTCTGACCTTGGAGCCACCTAGCATCTTGAATTCCCAACCCAGCCCCCTACACACTAACTAGGACCCCACTGGAGCAGCTAGAAGCAAAAACCACCTGAATAATTAAGGGTACAGAGAGACAATGTTTGTCACTGCCAGATTCAATTAGCGATCCCCTGGGAATTCTGCTTCCCAGTCTCTTGCCTTTGAAGAACAAGCCAAATGGTCTGTGGGTTGGTAAAGTACTTAAAGAAATCTCAGTTAAATTCAGAAGTCCTGGCTTTCCCAAATGCAAGCCGTCTGTCTCTCTGTCCCTCTATCCCACCTAGTCCTGAAGCTATGGTCCTATCTCCTGCCCTCTTCCCTGGAGAGTGAGGAGATGGCCACTTGGATGGCAAAATAGGCACCTGGTATTCTTTGAATATTGTTTCCCAAGGGGGGTGGGTGGGAGAACTCCAGCTTATCAGCACCAGGAAACAAAGTTTCCTGCTGAAAAGACCAAAGGCTATCCTGCCAGTCAGCTGGCAGGGGCTCCCCTCCTGTCCCTCAACCTCCTCTCAGCAAGCGGGCAATCCCAACCTAAGAAGGGGCCCTCCAAAGCCAGTCACAACCAGGACTCATTGTCTTGTTTCTTCCTTTGAAGCCCGTCACCTCCCCTCCCCCTCCCCCTCCCAGCAAAGCCCCAAAGTGCAACTCTTACTTGGACTGGACAGTGGGGGAGGTATAGCCAGAGGGTGTGGCTCTGCCAGCCAGGGTACCCTTCCTACTCTCAACAGGAACTGCAGGTGGGAGCCTCGGAGGGGTGCTGGGCAAGGTCAAGTGTAAACTAAGATACAGTAAAGAGAACCTCCTCTCCCCCTCCCCAGACCTGAAGGGGTGATGTCCAAACTGGTAGGAGGAGCACTTCCTGAGAGCACTGCTAGGGAAGGCTTTATTCCTAGCCAGGGGAACTAAAGCCCGCCGTAGCCATCCCAGCCCCTATGGGCTCTAACAGGGATGCTGAGCTCAGACTCCTCCTCCCAGGAGAAGGCAGAAGGCACTCTGAACTTCGACAGGGGCTAGAATCTGGGCACGCGCGCACACACCACGCACTCACACTCACACAGCACACACCAGACCTGGGTGACTCCAGGAGAGAGTGTCGGCCTCCGAGTCGTGATGCCAGGGCTCCGCGCCAGGGTCCAGCGTGACGAGCACTCGGGGGCTTGGCGCCCAGACGCAATTGGGAAGGAGGGGAAAGCCCAGCTGTTAAGGAGAGGGGCCTTCAGACTCCGCGGGGAGGCAGGACGCCCCACAACTTCCTGCCCTGCCCCAAAGTAAGATCCGGAGCCCCGGCTGTTCTCTGGCGCCCAGGTCGGCTCGGCAGTGCACCGCAGGCTCCCTTGCCCACCTGGACCCAACTCCTGGGACTCTCAAATGCTACAACCCCACGTTGCCTCGTGGAGCAGCGCACCTAGATGTGGGTTCTGCACCCCGTTTCCACAGCCCAGCGCCCCAGTCCTTCATGATCACCCCAGATACCCGCAGTCCAACCCTTCCCGGGCCCCCACGCACAGCGCGACTCCTCTCCCCACTTCGCCGAGGAGGTGCGATCCAACTCCGCCCGGCTCCCGGCCGCCCGGGCGCCCTCCGGGCTGCTGCCGGGGGCGGGAGGCGCGAGCAGGGGCAGCAGCCGCAGCGGGCGGGTGGGCGCGGGAGGAGGCCACTCCGCACCTCGCGGTATTGTTTCCAAAATACGCCCGCTCTGGGCATCCCGCAAACAGCTGATTAGGCCCCGCCCCCCAGCGCGTCACGCCGACGGCTGGCCAATGGCGAGCGGAGCCCCCGGTCCCGGGCTGGGCGGCTGCCAGGGACGGTCAAGAATGTACGAACCTACCCTTGGAAACACTGCAAGGGGCCGAGCAAAAGTTCTGACCCGCGCCAGAAACGCAATTGGCGCGTCGTCCGCCACGCAGATTCTGTTCCTCACGCAAGCTCGGGAATCGCCGGGGACTCACCCTTCCATTAGGAACGAGCGAGGGGGCGCCAAAGGGACTTCTGTGTTCTTCCTCGGAAACGGGCTAAATAAATACGGCTCCAGACCGGGAGGGGAGGAGGAGGCTGAGAGCTTTCCGACGCGGCTGGCGGCGTCCGGTGGGTGCAGGTGCGGGTCCCAGCGGATCCTGGCCTGGTGGCAAAGCACCCTCCGCTAGCCGAGCCGAGCGCGTCAGGAGAAACTCCAGCCCCAAGTCTATAGGAAGCCTGAGAACACGTGTCTAAAGCTGTTACTGAGTGGCTTTCAGATCAAACACATCCAAAGGGGCCCTCAGGTCCTCTTCTTGGCTGGGCGTGCACCCTTACAGACTAAGCATCTGGCGGAGGAGAGGCGAGATGCTTGGGCAGGTGACACGCACCCTTTTTACGGCCGCATCCAGAGGTGGTGCTGGTGCTGCCAGGAGAGCCAAGTGTCCTGCAGATCGCATACCACCGGTAAGGGAGTGTGGACGTTCACAAACATTTATTGAGCACCTGTATTGTGCGGGGTACTGTGTTAGGTGCCAAAAACCGGGTGTCTGTCCTCAGGGAGCTTACAATCTACTCGGAGAGATAGACCCGAAAATAATGGAAAGCAGGAGGAAATGTGTTGATTTTGGAGATAATGACTGCTAGAGATGCAGAAAAATTCAGAATGCAAAGGCGGGAAGGCTTTAGGGCTGTTGAGTTAGGCCTTGAAGGATGGGGAAATTTTTCAATATGGAAAACCAAACAAAACAGCCCAGGCCTGGGGGCAGCAGAATAAATAAGCTGGGGAATCTGTCCTGGGGGCAGGCTAGAGGGTGGGGTCATTGGGTGCACACTGGGATGTAGGAAGGGTGGGCGTGGACAGGTAGATGTAAGTCAGAGTACAGAGATGTCCCTAGAATGCCAGGTTGGGGAATCTGTACTTATTCTGGAGGCAAAGCGGAGCCAGCAAAGATTTTATAGAAGATGAGTGACTTGGCCAAGCCTGAATTTTAGGAAAGATAAAGGAAGGGGCCAGAAATGAATGAGAGGGAGCCAGTCCCTGCAATAGACCTGATGATCGATTATAGGGCCTGATCCCAGTGGCAGGGGGACGGGTGGTTGTAAACTCAGACAAATCTAAGTGGAGCTGGGACCCTTAGCCCAGAGGAGCCTGACGTCATCTTATACCCTTTTCCTACCCACTCTTTCCCTAGCTCCTTCCAAGGGTGCCTGAAAGAGAGCAAACCAGGCATAGTGAAGACTATGGTTGCTAGAGTAAGAAAACACCGTCCCAAAAGGATGGAGAAGAGGGAAAAGGGAAAGACGGGAGACTCCAAGCTGGCCAGCAGCCCAGTCCCCCCAGGAGTTGACAGGCATCCAAAAAAGAGGCGCTGGAGCCAAAAGGAGGTATATTATTTTACCAGGAGGCTTGGCCAAGAGGGAGTGTCGGAACCTGTCATGCCACATGTGGGGAGACGAGGAGACCAACCCAGCCTCTGTGCAGGGTTCTCGGGAGCCTTCCTGGTCACCATGCAGATCTCCTTCCACTCCTTCCTCCCACCCTTCCTATTGGCTTCCCTCCGGGGCCAGTGTTTCAGGCCGGCCACTGTGATGATGGGAAGGACTTCGGGTAAAGAGTGGGACTGAAGGACGAAGCAGCTCTGAATCTGTCCGCTGGGGCAGCACGGGCCCCCAAGGGCAGGGGTCGTCCTAATTCTCCTGACCCACCCAAGCTGCTAACGCTCTGTCTGCTTCCTCACAAGGTGGGATTGGGCCCACAAGGCGAGGAAGCTGGGAGAGCAGGGTGTTCACCTGGGGCCCATGTATTTGTCACACTCACCAGGGTCTCCTCTGCTTTAGGATCTATGAACCCCTAACACTGGCTAACTTCTGGGTGGATCCACACATACATTTTTGGAGGGGTGGCTCCATAGCTTACAACAGTTTCCCAAAGGGGCCTGGGACCCTATATAAGGTTAAAAAATCATCATTGTAGGGTAATGGGGCTGGGGAGGGGATCATCTTAGTGGGTCTGGGCAGTTGGCAAGATGAAGGGAGGGTCACACCCTCTCGTGACATTTCTTCTAAGACCTCTCTCCCAGGCTTTCCCAGGCTGCTCCCTCAGGCTAGTTCTAAAGGACACCTGGTGGCTTGGCCTCCTGTGTTATCAGCCTCTAAGGTCAAGCAGCAGGGGCCCAGCCTTCTGAGCCAGAGGGACCAGAAAAGACTGTCAGGGATAAAGGGGTCAGGGAGGTCAGGAGCCTCACTCCCCACCTCTCATCACTGTCAAAACAGACCCCGCCCTCTGGGCCCTTTCTCCCCTGCCGGACAGGGCAGACTCAGCAGAGCCAGGACCTGCGGGGCTAGAGATCTGGGATCTGAGCCCCCTGTCCAGCAGCAGCACGCCAGGAACAGAGGAACCCTAGGCTTTTGACTGGGCTCAGAGCAAATGCACACCGCAGCTGCAGCAGCCCTTATTTTGGAGAATTTCCTTACTCTCTCCCCCCTACCTCCCCACCCCTTGCCCCAATTTGTTTTCTCTTCTGCGAACTGACCCTGGCTCTAGAAGGAGGGTCCCAGAGGAAGGCACAGTTGCTCTGAACGGCATCAGTGTGCAGGCCGGAGAGGGAGGCCGACCTTCCCCCACAACCTTGGAGGGATGCAAAGAGTTAAGAGGAGTGCTTTCGGCAGAAGAGAAAACCCAGCTCCCAGTAGACAGCAGGCAGGAGCCCTCTCCATTGTTTCACCTGGCTATAGGATTTCTCTCTGAGACAAGGAATGGGCTCTAAAACTCTGGTAACTGGATCACTGGGAAGGGAGGTTTTTTAAAAACCAGCTGACAGCTGAATAATAGGAATTACCAGGCAGGCCGCCCTGGGGTTACTGAGGTTTGTAACTCAACCCCCAGGGAGGGGTTAGATTGGAAACTGATTTATGGGGAAGGTGGGGGTTGTGGTGGGGGAGCCCATAATGCTTGACCCCCTCGCCTCTTAACTCCCTCAAGGAAGGATCCTGAATGGAAGAGAGACCAGGAACCTGGGTGTCCATCCCTTGCTGGACTTGCTCGAACAGAGTGAATTCATTCTCTCTGTGCATGGTTCCGTCTGCCTGCATGGGAATTAGTCCCTCTCTCCTGGAGGGTGAGAGAAAGAGAGAGAGAGAGAGAGAGAGCCAGCAGAACAGACAGCAGACAGACATTGGCTTCTGCTAATTGGATAAACAAATGGAAAGCCTTGATTTCCCAGTCAATGAGCTCACTACATGCCAATCACTGGTTCAGTGAGACTAAAATAGAAAAAGCAGGTACTAAAGAGAAAACATTTGGGAACTCAGAAAACTGGATGTAAGGAGAAATGTGGAGACTGAGGCCGCCATGCTAAAGCCCAGTGGAACCTAGAAGACAAGGTGAAATCCATGAATTATGACATTCAGCACATATTCAGTTTTGTTTTGGGGGACATTCAATAAATATTTCCTGAGTGAGCAAATGGATGAATGTACATTTCCACATTTAAAAAATGTGAATAGCCCGGCTGGTACGGCTCAGTTTGTTGAGCATCGTCCCATGCACAGAGAGGTCGCCAGTTCAATTCCTAGTTGGGCACATGCCCTGGTTTCGGGTTTTGGGCTCAGTCCCCGATGGGAGGCGTGCCGGAGGAGCTGATTGATGCTTCTGTCTCTCCCTTCCCCTTCCTCTCTCTCTAAAATCAAGAGAAAACATATTTTTAAAATAAGTTTCACTTTTAAAAAATGAAGAGTTCTGTATTGGGGAGTGGAAAAAACCTTCAGTGGAGGATTTGCCATGAATGTCCCGTGTTACATTGTGTTTGCCACTTGGAATGGTTGGCCTTACCTGAGTTTCTTCTCACCAGCAGAGCCTCCCCTTAGAAGGGAAAGGTGATGCCACCAACGCCTTGGTACCCTCAGTCCACCCTCCAGGCGTGGCACATGATGGAACTATGTCTTTGGAGACAAATTTACAGAAAAACTACAAGCATGGCCCTGAGGGTGGAGCCTCCTCAGCTCCACTGTCCCCCACTTCCTGCCCAGCCCAGGGCTCAGCGTGCCTAGCCCATGGGGGGAAGGTTGGCTCTATCCTGCTAAGAGACGAAGAAATCCAGTAAGAATACTCTTCCTTTAAATCTACCTCCCCCAGGATGTAGCCTCTTTCCTGGGTAAAGGTACATCAATACTTCAGTACGTACTCTCCTTGGGATTGTCAGGGAAACCTCAGAAATTTCAAGCTGAGGCCAGAGAACGACCGATTGCTATCAAGGAAACCCGCCACCCTGGAGGAGCTGGGGACCGGTCCCTTCTGGGCCTGGAGCCTCCCAGGTTTTGAATCTGGTGTTCAAGAGGACCCGGGCAGAGAAGGGGAGTTGGATCGGCTTTCCCAGCCCACCCCTCAGCCCCCAAGGCCTTGAAGTGGAAGAGGGTTCCTATCTGGCAGTGAGAGCTCAGTCTCCTAGGTGTGAGTTCACTAAACATTAACTAAGCACCTGCCCTGTGCTAGGCTCCCCGCCACGGACAGGAGGTGCAGATACAGGCCCTGGGGGATCCTTGAGCATATTCATATCCTTTCTTCCCAAACATGAACCCTCATATGCACACCTACACACAAGCTCAGAGAAACTTGGGGACAGGAGGAGGCTATGGCAGGGGGAGCTGCAACTGGACTAGCTAAGAGTAAACAGCCTTCCCAGGAAGGCCCGGC